AATTTAGTATCTGAGTTGTAGTTTAACTATTGAATAATGCAGGAAGGTTATTTCTGAATTTACATCTTGTAATTAGTACGCTACATATCTCCTTCAGTGCAACTATTTTATCATTTTATAAGTGGAATGAATTAGAGAGCAGTTTTAACTGAATTCTTTAAGTTCAGTACATTCTAAAATATAATCATCATTAGCCATGTACTTTCATATTTACTCTTATATCCTTATCTTATACTTTCATCAAAATTGCAATCCAGTTCGAGCTTATGTGAAAAGTTTGCGATTATAAACTGAGATTCTGTGATCTACTCTTACCTTCAGTGTATGTAGATAGTTGTATCCTAAAATTTTTGGGTTGGTTTTGGTAATATGCATTCAAGCTCATAGTCTCGTAGTTAGTTACGACAGACAAATTGTATCTTCGTTTAGTTAAGTGGCATTTAGACCACAGGTTCTTTCTACCAAATAACGTAAAGAGAATATGATTTCAAGGATTAACTTGTGTGAAAAGTAAATCAAAATAAAATCTCATAAAATGAATGTTAAGCTGACTGACTTCAAATATGTTAACATAATATAATTACTCGTATATTAAATACAATATGTTAAATATTTACTCCGTTGTGATTCAGAGTAGTCTATTTTACAAAAATAAAATTATTCACAGACCTTTAACGAATTATTAAAAATTTACTATAACTATTAAAATAATAATCATTCCGTTTTTGTACATTTTGTTCAAAATAAAATTTATATTGTTTATTAAAGAACAACAGTTTCATCTCGTGTTTGTGGCTTCGAGTGTGTTTGCAGTTAACATGTTTTCCATAAAATAGCAATCCACACAATTGTATCTGCCGTGTATTTACTGTGCTTTCTAATTTAACATGTTCCTTAATTTTATAGTTTTCTGTTTTGTATCTTGTATTTTGTATTTTGTATTTCGCCAACTTTGCCCCAACTTTGCCCCAACGTTCCTCACGAACACAATCAACTTTTATGTTTAGTTGACATTTTTGCGGTTTCATTGCTCACGTTTGCACAACCTTGACTCATGTTCACATCTAGCCTGGGAAACACCTTTGCAAATTTGGCCACATTTACATGCTAACGTGTACGGATCCAAACAAGGAACTATGGTATCTTCCATGCAGCATCTTGCCAAAGACTTTAGCATTTTGTGGCCATTTGATATTTGCCGTGGCTTTTGCGGGATGAGTAAGGGAAAATGTAAATACGTGCATTGTAGTGCATTTGTGTAGTTTTAAGTTCAGTAACTACTTTGAAAACTCTCTAAAGGATTTTATTTTAGCATTAATTAGTTGTACTTAAATTTTATCTGTTCTTTAACAGCATAGAGAATATTTAAAATTTTATACTTGCCGGCAAGTAATTTAAGTCAGATGTTAAATAATACCCAGACGGTATAAGTTGTGGTAAGAATATTGCTTTAAGTTAAATACTACACACAGAAAATGTATAAATAAATAAAATAAAAATTTAAAATCAGAGAAAATAAAACGATGATGGCAAATGATATAATAAAAAATAAAACAGAGCCAAATAAAATAATCATGCCAATAATTGACTAGCAGTTTTATAACTTTTTCGAGTTCCGTTCGACTGGGTAGAAAACTAAATCCTATTTACTTACTAACATACTTTATTAAATCGTAATAGCAACCCGTCACCAGGTTTTGACCTGACTCAGATTTTATTTCCATACGCATTTGTTGTGTTTGCACCATTTCCAGTCTCATGTATTAAGTCTGTTAGTGCTCTCTCAGCTTAATAGGGTAATACTAGTTACCATTCTTACATTTTAGAAAGTGCGTATTATTTACTTATTAAATACCCATAATAACCTGTTACCGAGTTTTGGCCTGACGCAGCACTTCTAGCAATCTGCTCTTGTCTCGTACATCAAGTCCGGTTAGTGCTCCCTCAACTTGATTACTCCACTGAAGACGCAGTTGCTTGAGAACGAACAATAAGGACTGTTCTCCATGAGAACGAACAATGAGAAGTGTTCTCCATGAGAATATACAATGAGAACTGTTCTCCATGAGAACCTACAATGAGAAATGTTCTCCATGAGAACCTACAATGAGAACTGTTCTCCATGAGAATATACAATGAGAATTGTTCTTCGTAACATGATGAGGTCTGCAGAAGCGAAGAAAACCTTATCCTTAATCTAAACCCAGAAAAAAAATTTGGTTGATTTAAACTGATTTTAACTAAATCTTAGGTCAAAACATTCTTACTCGGCTCATCATGTTGGTTCAAACATACCAAATTTTTGTTTTCATATCTTCCTTACCACGTGAGTTAAAATTTTTCTAACAAAATGATCAGCTAAAGTTAGTTAGTCATTAGAGCAAATTTTTCTGAGTATACCAGTATCATCCTTAGCATCCTTTATTCATTTCTCAGATTGGGTTATATTTTTTCTTTAGTACAAAAATCATGTCTGTTCTCTGGGATATAAACTATAAGCCAATTTTTTTAATCTTTATATCTATAGCATCTTCTTCTTCTTAATTCTTTTATCTCTTTGTGGACCATAGGACCTCACTGCGATTTCTGCTATAATAGACTTATTGTTACGATTATATGAATTTTACACCTCCAAATGCGATGTGCGTCCCACCATAGCACAACGGAGCAATATTTATTATCAAGTGGGCTTTGGTGTGCAAAACTGTTACTCCAACTAGTTGCAGTATTATACCGTCTGAGATATGTCTGATAACGGTAACAGATATATAATTTTTTTTCTTCTAGAATATATTAAATAATTTTGAACTTTATAAACTAGATTATGGCAATGTTGGTTGGTTGCTTGTAGTGGCAGGCCATTAGATATCGTCAAATGCCAATTAGCGATTTTACGCCGTTTTGATACCACATTCCTCGCAAGAACCCTAGTATAGAAGAGTAGGGACTAAATCCATCCCGCCGAATTGAGATAATTTAATAGGTCTTTCATATTCATCGTTGAATAGTCTGATAAACTATCACAGAAGTATTTTTCTTTACGCTAAAGCCGGGCATTCACAGAGAAAATGTATTATTGTTTCTTTCTCTTGCGGGTAACTTCAATGCAATGCAACTTCAATAAATTTTTTTTCTTTGTGATTATTTTACACTCATGTCGTTAAAACCAATTATTTATGTTATTAATAATATAATTGGAATATAAGTGAAAAAGTCCCAAAAATTTAGTGTTTCAAAACTGATCAATTTAATGTTTGTGCTTTGTATGAAATCATTGAAAAGTAAAAATATCATGGACCATTATTTAAATCGTGTTGATATTTCACTATTTTTTCAATTAAAAAATTTATGTAGATATCATTTCAGTTGCTTATATATAATGTATATGTTTTCTTGTTCCAGTAATAAAGAAATATTTATGAAGTACATACTTTGTGTGAAATTAATGTTCATTGAACAAGATATGAGGCGTTAAAAATTAACAGATCATTTATTATTAAAAATAAGCAATATTTCACTCATCTTTCAAGCAAGAGAGAATTTTATATTTTATATGTAATAAACTTGGTAAAAAATTCAATAAAATCAGAGAAAGATAAAAAAATTATTGTTCACACGTAAGTAAACATATTTTTTGCGATATTCATTAAACTCTATTTTACTTGTATTTTTTATGTGCTTCAGTGCAAAATAGGCAACAGAATTTCGCATTGATTTGATTAACACATCATCACGTACTCGTCTGTGTAAACAGAAATTACACTACACTTACGTTCACGACTGTGAACAATTTTTATTACAAATTCAACAAAATATCAAAAATATCAAAAACGTCATGACTGCATGAATGTCAAAGCCTCTAAAGCCCCAGTTTGACACAATACGTCACACGCGGCGTATGAGCGATTTCGGTGCTCTCATAATATCTGCTGAACTTTTATGTTATATTGTGTTATATTGTGTGGCCCATATGTGTGGGATTATGGATTTCATTTTTGATCCAATGCTTGATTTTTTTATTTCATTATTTTCGTTTAAGGACGTGCTGTAAATTTTGTTTGTATTAGCAAATTTTTTTATATGCAATTTTTTTGGCAATTTTTTTGGCCATTTTTATAAGTGATTTCTATTTGCTGTGTTTATATTTTCTTGTATTTTATCATTTCGGTCTACTATATTATTTATTTTTAGATATTTTCAATTTATTTTGTTGTTCTAAGAACGAAATTTCTGAAATATATTGAGGCACTTGTTTATGACTTTGCCAACATAAAAATTGCGGCAAGTCAAGTTATAGCATTTTATGGCTTTTGTTGATTTAACTATGGTCTCTGGGTGGAATGTTGATGTTGTAAATCAATTGAGTTTAAATAATAAACATTTTGCGTTGTCCTTCATTTCGTAATTTTGTGATTATGGGGCAAGTTTATAATTGAAATCGATTTTTTACAGTGACTCGTACTTGGCTGGTACTTGTCATTGTTAAGGTCAAATAGTTGTGGTCTTGGTTTGAATAAATAAAAAGAAAATCATGAAATATGTTATAAATAATTTAAGAAATGTGAACCAAGAATTTTTTAAAAAAAATGTCCTAATATAATTAAGAGAACTCCTGCAAAAATAGAACAGTAGAAATACATAAGAAGATATAATTTTAAGAAGATTGCAATGCAGCTTAGTCATGGTTTTTATTTTCATTATTATATTGAAGTTATTTGAGCACTTTTACTCTCTATTAATTTGGGGTATCTTCGAAACCACTCTTTACGCCTTGACTGCATTATTGTTTATTACTACATCAGACTAAGCAATAATTGATCTCAGATCTGCTTACCTTCCCGAGTATCCAGTAACCATTCTGAG